ATGTGTGCTACTGCCTGCATGTGACAGGATCTAACTCTTTCCTACTACAGAAGCAAAAACAGGTAGAAAACCCTGCATGTGTAGGATAATTCTGTCATTAATAAAAGCAAAGATAGAATTTAAATAGACATTTATTAGCTGGCAGAAAGACAAACACAATGATGGAAAGGTTTTCACCACTTGCTATCTTCCTTTCTGAGAAGCCCATGTTCTGAAAATTCCTGTAATTCTGCTGGAAACAAAAGATCAAAGTCTGCTGTGATGTCTCTTATTGAGAGAAATGAAGTGTACTGAAGAACTCACAAACTCTGTTATGGATGAACTCTTACATTTCTTTAAAACAGAATGAAACACTACGCAGAATTTGCAGCCAACAAAAGTAGAAAATGGGACCCCATCCTAAGGGTACTCTGAGGTAGCCAAAACATTTTAAAAAGGGTCATGCTGTAGACACCTGAATGTGTAGCTAAACTGAGTTTGATTTTGCAAAGGAAATTAAAACCCACAGTAAAAGCTAAAAGAATAGCAAGACAACAAATGAAATGGAGATGTAGTGAGGATCTAGCTAAAATAAAAAGTATCTAGGTATGACAGAAACCCAAAATGAACGCTTTGCCTCCATTTTCAGAGAGGATAGGGAGTGGAGATCATGTACGAAATGGTGCAGAAAATGGGTGCTCTGTGATAACAAAGGCACAATCTGCAAAAGCAGCACTCAAAAAACCTAACAACATAAACTCTGATGGAACCTGCAGGCTCCATGCCAGAACTGTGAAAGAAACAGCACAAGGAATACACATTCAGGAGAAAGGATTTTTAAGAAATGCATCAAAATGATGCATTCTATCAGATAAGAACTACAATATACATTTTCCACCTCTCATAAAATTATGGAACACAGGTTCCTCTTTCACGGCTTCTGCATGAACATAAGAACTGTAAAAGCATTCTGAATAAAGCATATGAAGATTTTGCCCTCTTCTTCTCTGGAAAACTCATAGCAGTTCACTTGTTTATCCTCCAACAAAAACAAACCATTCCATGAAACCTTCACTTGGTGAATTCTTTTCCACTGTTCTTGGTGTATTTCTGTTACAACAACTTTATTACTGCTTCAGCTATTGGTAGCTATTACTCATTTGAAGTCATTACCACTTTCCACTATGTTTAATATCCTAATGGGATATTATTAGCTGTTACTCCAATCCAGCCGTCTCATACTTCAACAAACTACAATCTCCTATGGAAGCTCCTTTTTTAAAAAAAAAAAACAAAAGTTCTAGCATCAGTCTTAACATTATGCAATATTTAATACGTATTGTCTCCAAAACTGTCAACCTGTTTCCTTCGACTTTTCCATACATTTCACACAGCAGAATTCTTGTCTTGAATTCTACTATCTACCCTGATCTATTTCCATAACAGCAATATTCTGATTAACACACTATCGAGATAATGCCCAAATGTTCCTGTGCAAAATCAAGCTCCCAAAGCCTCTACAATTTAACAAAAATCAGATGCTTCAGGAGTCAATGAAGGACTGAGGAATGTGGACACTAACAAGCACATGCAGCTACATGCCCTGGATCAAATATCTGACAATTTCAAATCAACAGCTATCACTGGATGAATTAATCCTTGCAAGCGAAACACTGAAAAGCATCTTACGGGAAGCATCCTGCAGTTCCAGAGGCATTTCTATTACAACTCATCAGTGCAGTACACCTTCCACTATGAAGTTGTTCTCAAGGGTTATTCACATTGTACCTGCAGGACTGGAATGAATGTTTTATGTCTCTATGGTTAAGCTTGGACACTGAAAGGCATATCTGATAATTTGCATTAACAATAGTATTTGTCAGCATTTTACAGTTAGGAACTCTATTTTTAAAAACATTCTCTCTGTGTAATTACATGCTTGAAATGCTTCCTGAAGAACTGATCTGGAGAGTTTCTGCTTTTACTTTGATGTTGAAAAATTGCTCCCTGTGAATCTGTGTCCTTGTTCATTTACACTTCCCCATTATATTTTAATCAACAATTTCTTTCCCTGATTGAGTCTTGCAATCCCCTGTAATCAGCAACGCATTGTTCTTCGGCACTGTACCAGTAAGCCCCTATAAGCTGGCCACAGAACACTCATTTTCTCACCTTGGCTGCTGTGGTAACAGCATACGTCTGAATAACCACCAGATTTACTAAAGCTTCTTACAGGCAGACTGAAATGAAACTGGCATTGTCTGGAATGTATCTAATTAGGACTGAAAATACATCCTTACTGAAAAAATGAATGCCAGGTTTTCCCCAGCACTCTCTCTGTGCTGACAGTCTGTATCTCTAAGGGATGGTGGAACTGACTATCATTTCACCAAACCTCAAAAAAACCCTCTCATGACAGTGTCTGAATAATGGTATTCATTAAGTAGAAAGCTGCACATGTTCTTTTTAATGAATTGATTTTTTTCTTTTTTAAAACCTCCTGAGCGTTTGTCAGGACTCTGCAATTGCTGGACTGTTGAATACATTCAAATATGGTTGAATACACTTCCAGCCACATTGATTTCTAAGGCAAGTGCATACATTGTTTAGGATAACGGGAGTTTCAGTACAGATGGAGGCAGGTTCTTATCCCATTTGTCATAACTTCTTCAATTCAGAGGAGGAGGAGATGGAGGAGGAGTACCTGCTCTTCGCTAACCACAGCTTCAGGTGCAGCCAGCAAGGTAATTTCTGATACTTGTTTTTTTCTTGCCCTGTCAAACTGAACTTGCAAAGCAGAAGTGGAAGACAGCACTGATAGAAATCTTGATATTAATACTGTCCACTTAGGTGTTGTGCAATGACTTACAATTTTACAGATGCACCGTGCACTTACATAGTACACGTACACTGTGCATATTATGTTATGCGTATGTACAGTCTCTTCAGATGAAAGTATTTTCCCCTCATGCTTCAGAAAGAAGTACAGGGGATATCATATCCTTTTCTTTTTTGAGTGACTGTCCACATACATATACACACATCACAGAGGGCTGTAAGAATATACTCTCAGAGCTTCCTGCAAAGCACTGTCCACGTCTTCACACAAACTGACTGAAGCTTTGTTACGCTCCTTGGTGCATTTCCCCAAAATTAAAAACTCCTTAAAGGAATAGTCATTCACGATCATCTAGACCTCAAGCCCAAGATGACTGGACATATAGAAGACTCAGATCTCACTGAGGAACAGACAGGAACAACTCTGTAATCTTAAAAAAGCAAGAGTCCTTGATTCACTAAGGGAAGGCAGGATGAGCAATGCAGGCATTAAATGAAACCTAACTGATCTAAAAAAAAAATTAGATGTCCTAACCAAAACTCTTTGCCTGGGTTCACTGAAACAGGAACTTATCAGAAGACCTAACAGAAAACTGGCCTCGGTCTGGTTTGTTTTGCCAGATAAATCTAACTCACATAAACTCCTCCTGCTCAGGGCAACATGATGTCTGTTTCAGGATCTCTCTTCAGTATATAAACAATTTCGTAATTGACAAGTGCAATAAGGATGAGACATTTTAAATACTTTGCACACTTGAATTCCTACTGAAACTGTTTAACTTACTCCCTGCAATATATTAACACTCACTAATATTTTTCGTATTCGAATCATAGAATGATTTGGGTTGGAATGGACCTTTGAAGGTCATCTAGTCCAAGCCCACTGAAATAAGCAGGGACATCTTCACTAAATCAGGTTGCTCAGAGCCCCATCCGACCTGACCTTGAACTTTTCCAGGGGTGTGGCATCTACCACCTCTACGGGCAACCTGTTCCACTGCCTCACCACCCTCATAGTGAAGAACTTCTTCCTTACAGCTAATCTAAATCCATCATCTTGTAGTTTAAAACCATTGTGCCTTGTCCTATCACAACAGGCCTTGCTAAAAAGTCGGTCCCCATCTTTCTTATAAGGCCCATTTAAGTACTGAAAGGCCACAATATGGTCTCACCGCAGCCTTCTCTTCTCCAGGCTGAACAACCCCAACTGTCTCAGCCTTTCCTCCCACTCTCCAGCCCTCTGATCATCTTTGTGGTCCTCCTCTGGACCCACTCCAACAGGTTCACGTCCCTCCTGTGCTGAGGGCTCCAGAGCTGGATGCAGTACTCCAGGTGGGGTCTCACCAGCGTGGAGTAGAGGGGCAGAATCACCTCTCTCGACCTGCTGCCCATAATAGTCTGTAATACATTTTTATATTTAAAAGAAAAGAGGAATCTGTTTTTTTCTTTCTTCTCAGCTGAAAAGACAATGTAGAAGACAAAGTTCCTTCAAAAAATGTATCTACGTTTTTATTAATGTTTAATTTTATTTAAAAACAAAATTGCTGAACATACAGATATCGCAGCTCAGTTGTTATATCATTTGAAATGGGATTTGTGGACTGAAGGTATTTGGGGGAAATTCTGCATCTGACAAAATTCTGTTTCAAATTTTAAACACAAGCTGTTCTGAAGAATTTTCTTGAACTTCAGGAAAAACACTAGGATAAGTATATTGATTGTGATTGTGTAGGATTGACAGAAATCAGGCTGTTGAGTCTTCCAGTGTGAAGATGACAAAACTTTAACAAGAGATTATCAGGATCACATGAAAATACTCTCAGTTTCCACATTCCAATAAAAAAGGTTAAGGTTGAAGAGCTACAACCAGATTTGGGTTTGTAGCCACAAGTTGATAATTAATGAAGTGAAAGAAGATCTTTATCAACCAAACATAAATAAGTATTTTTAAAGAACAGAACACATTTTTGTGCAACGTTCCAATCCAGTACTCAACGCCATTCTAGCCTTCCTGAGTTACAATTATGTGTGTTTCGTTGTAATCCAAATTTCCCAGATCAATTCAATCCGGATATGAGCTTGGGGGCATTGTTCACATACACGGTTCTAAATTCTCCTGAAAATGTCCAGGTGTCCTGAACTATCTTAGAAATGAATATTAAATGAACAAATAAAAAACTTACCCGAATCATCATGACTGAGCACCTGATGTTATGAATTGTATCATACACCTTCTTAGAAATGTCCACAAACTGGTTATCATCAAACTGATTCACCGTGTTCTTGCTTAAGCTCTCCAATGCAATATTTACTTGACTAATAAACTCTGGAATCACTATTTAAAGAAGAAAACACAAACAAAATTCAGTGAACACAAAAAGGACAAAACATTTTTCTTTCTGGCAAATTGCATCACATTGATTAAAACTTTGTTTGAAAAGAGCGTTATAGTAATAACACAATTAGTTTTTAGTGGGAACACATTTGTAATTTTCATCACAGAGATAAAAATGCATTTGGTAGGCACGTAAGCTGTGGATGGTTCTACAGTACAACAAAGAAGAAGAAAGTTTTCATAGAGGAGTCAGGGAAGCAAGCTGTAAAAACTTGCCAGTGATTTCAACACTAGTTTTACCCAAAGAGTCAGGATGAACAACCTGGTCCAAAGCTGGAACTACTATTCAACAGACTCTGCTTTCAGTCACAATGGAGACAAAACTACCAAAAGATTGATGCTTATTCTCCAAATTAACAGGTCCCACAATTGTAACCTATACTCACCAAGGCAGCGTACCGTGTTTGATTGAATCAAACAAATTGTAAATTTTGAATCAGTTTGATATTAACCTGTGCTTTACCCAGAATGTCCTGGAAATTTTCCTCTGGTGCTCCAAGGCCTTATTTTGCATGATGACTTGCTACCACTCTATTTCCCTTGATACTTCACATCAATTCAGAGCAAAGGAAACTCAACAGAATACAGACGGAAGAAAGAATGCAGCTGGAAAATCCATCATGCACACAAGGACCTCAAACAAGTACATCTGCAGTGACTCATTTCCTATCACTTGGAGACTGAAGACCCAGAAAAACCAGAAAGTAGAGGGACAGAACTCAACTTCTGTAACATGCAATATGAGTAACATATACCTGGTGGAACAAACTTTTTTTAAGGGAATGTGTTGGTTTCAAATACAAGTATAATATTTGTTCCACCCCTTCCTCCACAATTACACGCTATGTAATTCATAAACACACAAAAGCAACACTACCAATGTCACCGAAAATCTGGGAATGAAACCTCATAACACCAATGTAGTGTTAAAAGGCAGGCATTCTTTATTGCAGTGCTGGATGCATGGAGGATAATTCCACTGAACGTGCATATCTCATACTTTTCTTATGCAGTTTATATAGATCAAAAATATACATATTCATTAGGTTTCCCAATCCACCTATAATATGCATAGCCTATCTCTTTCATATTAAAATTAATTCCAAGAAGTCATTTCCATAGACTCCTCCCAGCTGCGCTTGTGCAGTGCCTCCTAGTGGTGGTCGTCAGGGGTCCCAAGATGAAGGCTTATCCTCTTCATCACAGTGTTCACTGATTGACCTTTGTTTCTGCGCAAACTCAGTTCTCTTCTTGCTCCCATTCACACAGTGGGGTCGTCTTGACCGGTTCTAGGTGACTTCTAGCCCCTATCAAAAACTAACCCCTTTGTATGGAGATGCAAGACTTTCTGCTTCAGTTAATTTACACAATAGATAGGTACTATAAATGCACCTGCAACTATTAGGTAATGCTATTTCTATTAAAAATCCCCTTCACCACTATTGTTTAACATTAATAGTTACCTAGAGACTAGACCCTCTGTTCTCAGACCTAATGTCCAGATGGGTAGGGCTGTACAAGGGACATAACAGCATTGTTCATGTTTATGGTTAACTGATTCCATCACCTTGGTTACACCAATACCTTAAGTACAAATCATTTCAGACAAATTTTTAAGTACATAATAAATTTTTATGCAGAGAAAGCTTCAGCTGAAGTCAACAAGACTTCTGAATTAGAAAACCTGGCAACATATGCTTTAAATATCAGGAAAGACACCACAATAATGCTCTAACCCCTAACTTTACATGGAGAAACCCACGTAACCCTTGGAGATATTTAAATTCTCTCTTAAATTACAGTAACTTCACTGTCTTCAAGCTCAGCTGTTTCCTTCTAGAGTGCAGAACAGTTACTTCATGTGTCAGTTCTGAGAAATAACAAACTTCAGTTCATTCAGTGGTAGTGGGAACGTTCATTTTCTTCTGTAAAATAGATCTCCAAAAGTGTGAGACAAGTAGATGCCATTTAATTTAAAACACAGGATATTTAAAATCCTTTCTTCCCTCTTCAGATTATCACTTGAATTACCCTACCTTCTGAAAAGGTCAGTGGGAAGAACAGATTTCTTAAATGGTATGGAAAAAAGACAAGGTACATTTGTCATTAGCAACCAAATGGAATAATTAGGGAGAGCAAGCACCTATTAATTTAGTGCTCTTTGAATTTTTTTTTTAAAGAAACACAAATCTACAATTTCAGAAGATGAAACTTTTTTTTTCTGTTAAGCGAAGATCTTAGCCCCTAGACTATCAAAATAATTGCAAGTGTGGCAATTTTGAACTAAACAGGCACCTCATACATTTACATGAAATTAAACATTCAGCTCTTCATATCCGTTGTAAAAATGCTGCAAAGGAGAATATAAGAAGTTTCCAGGAATTCAAGTTTTCCACGGCTTTAGTCAAAACCATGAGGCATTTTCCCAAGCCTCCAACATCCTCACTTCTCAGTTTATTGTACTCCAGATACTTCACTTACACTATTGTAAAGCACAGATTCCCTGCTTACGAACAGCATTTTCAGTTGCTCCTAACTGCCTGCAGCCTTCTTCTTCTACAGGACAGGTTATTTCTTCTCAGTTATCTATTCAGGCTCCACCCTGCACCCTATTCTTATTCCATATGCTTATTAATGGCCTTTTTACAGCTCCTTTACTCATTATCACAGTGTATTTGTTTGTCTGAATTAATACATCACTTATGAAACAGGATTTTACACAAATTTGTAGTCTATACTTCTGCATGCTATGGGTGGAGCCAGTGCTAAACCACTGGCTGCACCTGATCACAGAAACAGGATCTCAGTGGCTTCCTTCTGATAACATGTGTAAGATGGTCGCTTATCATCAATATAATTTTTACACACAGACAATCAAAACACAAGACTAAACTAATTCTAAAATATGTACATAATCGGCTAATGAAGTATAAAAATACATTTGGGCTATTATAAGGTTATGAAACAGTTCTTATTATTTGGTCATTTGTCCTGTACCTGATTGGATAATTCCTTCAAATCCAAGACTCCTTTCTTGACTGCATGTGATCTATTTCATTATTGAGTTCCCCACCAAATGACTAGTTAAAAAGAGGTTTTGGTGGGTATATGATTTCTTATCCATGGATCACTGGCATCAAAAATACTTTTACTTCATACACCCTCAAATGGTTAAGGCATCGCTCTGAAACACTGCACTAAGTGGGCTAGAATTACATTAATAACGTGCATCTTTGCTGTACTCTGCTTTATTTTTTAGGCACCCTAAATACGAATGAGAAGTGAATGCAGGTAAAAATTGTTTGGACAACATTGATATTTTCAATCTTTCAAAAGCAAAGAAAAATTAAACAAGTTGTAAGTAAAATGAAAAATTTCAAGTGTTCTACAATTGAGAAGTATTACTACATTTCTGTGATTCTAATATTAAAACATTTTTGAAGAATACTTACAAATTTTTATTTTAATTTTTGCTTTTTTTTTTCCCCCTCAACAAATTTCAACACGAACATCTGTAATCCTGTCTTTCCTGAATGGGAAGGTGTGGAAAGGAGGAGGATATTTTCAAAAAAAACCAATACTGCTCATAATTGTAATGTTGAAAGTCCCCAAATGGATTCACAGATTTCACACCACCATGTTCTGCTTTCTTCTTGAAATTACTTTTATTTGTTTTAAAATTCATCACGTCTTCCCTAATTCCTCTCTTGTCTTAAATAAACAATACTACTTGTCTTTCCTTGTAGGCCATGTCTTCTTCAACCTCTAATCACTTCTGCTTGATTTTGTCAACTTCAACCAAAACCAACTAATGAATCTTGTTTGTAGTTTAGTACCTGTCACGACCCAGCTCTTAATCAGAGGCTATCACATCTATATGTCAAAATTGCATGAGTTAATACAGCAAAAGTAAACTTCACTAATCACTTTATTCCAATTAGCAACTCTGTGCCTGTTATTTTTAATAACAAAACCATCAGGACAACAGGTTTTCAACTTTGCAGAAGGCCAGTGACAACAGGGGAATACATGAGCTGTTCTGCTTGCACCTTTTAATGAAGTTGCATTAAGTGATTAACATCACTTCATCAGCAATCAAGATACGTTGATACTGAAAAAGCAACAGTCTCCACAGCTAAAATGTCCACACATAGACAACACTCACCTAAATAATGTCTTAAAAAAACGAATACAACAGACATGGACTGACATGACCTCCTAGAACTGATCAAAAACATAATGACTTTTAAAAATTTTTTTCAATTCAAAATGTTTATGGTTTTTAATTTGAAAAAAAAAAAGGAAAAAAAATCCAACAAAAGCCCCGTTTCATTTATTTGACAAAGGCGGGAACAAGCCCAAGATGCTTCTAAATAAAAAATAAAACAAGAATTACTTATTTTTTATCATTCTTATAGTGAAGTACTGAAAATAAGACTATTTGGTTCTCTGCCATCTCTGCAGGACAACCCCCAGGTCCCACCCTTTGTGCTTATGTTGGAATGCTATAGGCAGGGTATGGTACCCCCTCTCAGTTCCACAGAATGCCACAGTTTCTCAAAGGATGTCAAGGGAGAGCAGATGTGGTGGATTACTGAATGCATATATATACAATTTTTCTCAAGAAAAATAATTTGTGGTCAATAACCAAACTTTCATCTACAATGTTTATCTATACGTATAAACACTGTGAGCAACTTACTGTATGGCGTACATAGACTGGAAAAAGGTTCAAGAGCTCCCACTAGAATGAAGACTGAAAAAACTACTCTTTCAAAGGCAGCTTTGAAATGGAAATGAAAACGCAGTGCTCAGATGAATGAATGAAGCTCTCTGTGGCAGACCTACAGATCCCAGCTACAAGTAGACTCTGCAAGACTGCCACAGCTATTGCTTGAATTTCAGTTCAATGACCTTTCAACAAAGGAGAAGACCCTTTG